AAATATAACAAATGTAACAAAAAGGCAACAGTAAAAAATATTGGGTTTCTGTCTGGATGGTCTCTTATGACGAGCCGATGGACAGAGAATGGAAGTAGTGACCTTCCTCCCATATTTGGGCATACCAGGGATTGTGACTTTATTTATTTTTATATATATATTTATTTGTGCTGATAAATAATTTATTTATTTATCAGCATAAATATAACAAATGTAACAAAAAGGCAACAGTAAAAAATATTGGGTTTCTGTCTGGATGGTCTCTTGTGACGAGCCGAAGGACAGAGAACGGAGGTAGTGATCTTCCTCCCATATTTGGGCATACCAGGGGTTGTGACTTTAAATATATATATTTGTCATCATATGCAAATATATATATAAAATTTAATGTGATCTTCATTTGTTTTAGAATGGAACAGTCAAAAACTTCTGATTATTCTGAGGTTTCTCCATGTTTCTGTTTCGAGATGTTTTTTACTGGGAACTGAAACATGCAGCTTTAACATGGGGTAATTGATAAGTCATAGTTGGAAAGAGATCTAAGCACTATAATGTACTTAACCTGCAATACCCCAACACTTTTAACTTGGTCACTAAATTAATCTAGTTTAACCCATTTTCTAGGCTAAATACCATGGACTGAACTAGCCAAACAGACTAATCAAGCCTAACACTCAGATTTAGTAATGTGTACAACTGCAACTGCTAGGTCTTTAAAAGTAGCCTGAATGAATGGGTTCTGTAGCCTGAATAAGTGTGTTCTGACAACACAATCTTTTATTTTTCAAAGCAGGGAAATTGAAAATAGATTCTTACTCCTCTCCCCAAATCTGTTTGGGGGATTTTTGAGGTACCTGGATGATAAATTCATCCCCAAGAAGCACATTTTAAAAAAAGACAATATTCAGAGAAAGACCCTGTTTATTTTCTTTCCCAGAACTGCCCCAGGGGAGGGAAAGACAGCACCAGGAGAGGGCAGCTAGGATTTTCTGTATTAAAATAACATCTTCATAAAACATGCAGCTGGCCTGGACATGCATCCCACTTACTCCATCCCCTCCTTCCACAGTCCAGCTGAGGTTGAGATTCGACTTAACAGAGTAACAATTCATCAATGCTGCCTTTCCAAGCTGTCCCCGCTGTTGCTAACAATTACATGTGAGACCAGCACTGCAGAATGGGGCGGGGGCAGGGGGGGGAGCTGGAAAATTGACCTCTCTGACTTGTGGAATGGATTCTCTTCTGACTCTTGCTTGGCATTGCCCTCTTTTCCATTCTCTTTGGATACATATTTGCCAGCAGTGTAGGCGTTCTTAGTTCCTAAGAGTATCTACAAGTAGGAGGTGAAGTTTTGTTCCCTTTTTGGCTTTCCACCCCGAGGGAAGCAACTGTGAATCAAACTGTGCTGTCTTCTAAACCCCTATGAAACCACAGAGGCAGGGATGCAAATATTGTGGGACCTTGGTCTTTGGACCTGAGAGATACTGCCACTCAGCAAGGCATAAGGGTTCGTTGCATGGGGACAAGTAAAGCTGGAGGACAGGGGCCATGGCTTGTACTGGCTACTGGGAAAGGCTTCAAAAGCAGGCCTATGCTCCCATAAAGGTATGAGGTGTCTACTGCGTTTGATGACAGCTGAAAATTGTCTAGCTAATGGTGCCTCCAGGCTTTATTTCCTATTTACAATGTAACTTGATTGATCTTGATGTCCAGTCACCTGTCCATCAAACCAACTAGTTCCTGACCAACAGGCAGGAATAGGGAAATGGATAATACCACTGTGAAGCTCCCCCCATGCTGCTCTCTCACCGAACCCTCCCCTTCGAAGAGCAGAGTGTGTTGATCCAGCAGAGAAAACACCAGGAAGCAAGAGCAGTTATTCCCTCTGCTCAGCAGCTACTACTTCTGTCTTGCTCTCTTGCTCCTCTAGTGAACATGGAGTCTCCAAATGTTCAGCCAGTCTGGGAGCTTCAATGGTGACCTCGTGAGCCACGCTCATAGAGGTACGAGGAGTAACAGGGAGGCGGCCACTGACATCTGTGGCCCGGAGACGTTGCATGAATGTAGTGACTCGGATGGCTTTCTGCAATAAAGGAAAGCAAGGTCAAGAAATGGTCATGAAATGGAACATCTGGACGGCTTCCCTTTTTGGTTCTTCATCCAAGTACCAAATGATACTGGCTCTTGAATGAAGAACTGGCACAGATTTAAGGCACCCGCAGCTTGAAACCGCTGTAACTAAAGAAGTAAAATGTTGGGAAGCAGGAACATGGTGTCCTTTTCTCCTCTTTTTGTAGCCTTACAACAACAGCAATATAGTTGCATCAATGGTTTCCTTAAAACACTGGATTCTAAAAGTTCATAGGAGAGAAGAATGAAAAACATGATTGTATTACATGTCCTATAAGCCTGCCATGACTTGAGACCCGACTATTTGAAAGATCAAAATTCATCCTTAACAGCCTGTCTGGAGGAATCTGTCCTTCTGCCCTATCACCACTGAAGACACTTTTTCCTTACCTATTTCTTAAAATACCTTATTTACTGATTACTTGCCATATTTCCCTTTGTTATAGATCAATAGAATTGGAAGCTCGTCAAACCCAACCAGCGAACTACAGCATTCCTTTCGCTATCTCTGTTAGATTACTATCCAGGCTCTGTTTAAAAACCTCCAGTAAAGGGGAAGAAATCACTCCATAGGGCAGTGATGGCTAACCTTTTTGACGTCATGTGCCAACACCCATAATGGGATACGTGCTCAACACACACACTGTGTGCAACACACCTGCCCCCCCCCCCGTGCATGCATGCCTGACCCCTCCCCCACTCCCCATTTTGGGCCTAGAAGGCTCCCTGCAGTCTCCTGGGAGCAAAAATGGGCCACAGGGAGAGGGCGGGAATGCCACACACCCCAGGCCCTGTTTTGGGCCTAGTAGGCCTCCCTGCAGCCTCCTGGGACCAAAAACGGGCGCTGGGAGGATGCGCCACACACATGCTCACCGCCCCCCCTGCATGCAGGTTCAACACCCCCCCAAAGGTGTGTGTGCCTCCACATGTGCCCCACCCCACTGTGAATGTCTGGCAGAGACCCAAAAATCAGCTGGCTGGCAGGAGGCGTGCACACATGCGCGGTGAAGCTCAACCGTGGCGACGGTTCGCATGCCCGCAGAGAGGACCCCGTGTGCCACCTGTGGCACGCGTGCCATATGTTCGCCATCACAGCCCTATGATAACCTCCACTGATTGACAGCTGTTACTGTGTAGAAGGTCTTCCTCATATCTAATTTGTATCTACTCCCTTGAAGTTTCATGTCCTTCTCTGGATTTGCTCCATTTTATCAGTGTAAACTTTGTAAACCGGGGTATATAGAATTGATCTATTCCAATGACTCACCCTCCATTTGGCCTTGGCAAAATTTTTCTCAATCTGTGCACAGACCCCTTCTTTGAGGTTCTTTTCGGAAGCAATGTTTCCCGATATCCTGAGAACAAAGAGAGAATGCAGAATTATGGCTTAGCACACACACTATGAGGTGTGACGAAATTATCTAAACCAAACAGGGAAAAATTAAGCAGGTTTTCCAAATCTAAGAACAGTTCAAGAGGTCTGTATCTAATTTTACAAATTGTCTCTTTATTTTAGGTAACTCATCTATCCTAAAGGGGCACACTTTTAGAAGAGATGTTCCTAAATATATGGAATATATTTTATGTAGAGCAATCTTAGCTTATGTGCCCCTCCTTAGAAAACTGAATGTTTGTTCTCTATTCCTGTATCAAGATTCTTTTATCAGAAGTTTTATTTATCCATACAGAGGAACCCCTGAATCATCTTATTTAGTGCCATTAGGAAAGAACTAAGAGCAAACCATAAATTGTTTGTAGCAGAAATAATTGACCACTAAAACATGATAAACTAAGATATTTTTTTTAATAGATGTGCACACTGAGAATTTAGGGATAGGATTTGCATAACAAATTGGTTTAGCATCAAAACTGAGGTACTGATTTTCTATTTATCGAGTTAATTCAGGAATGGCTTTCTAGGAATACCTCCCCGTTTATGTAAAAAAAATGTTCCTATCACAACAGCAGTTATACTAGACTCTACGGCAGAGGTGTCAAACTCGATTTCATTAAGGGTGGCATCGGGGTTGTGTTTGACCTCTGGAGGATTAGGGGCGGCGTGGCCAGATCAACGCCACCCGTGTCTGGAGCGCCTGTGGTAGCCCAAGCGCTCTGCCAGTGAGAATGGGCTCCCAAGCTCTGTTTTTGACTGCAACGGCTTTCTGCAACCCACTGCCAGCAAAAACAGAGCTTGGGACGGCCGCCCGTGGACCGATTATTTGGTGTTTTCCAGGCGGCCTCACGGACCAGATCTAAGCACCCTGTGGGCCAGATCTGGCCCCCGGGCAACATCCCTGCTCTATGGTAACAATTTGTAATGCTTTTTATTAAAGATACAGTCAAAATTTGCTAAAGTTGCTCACTTCCTATATGATAAATAGGGCCAGCCTTAGGAGCTGGCTGCTTTTCTTTGCATGCCTATCAACTATAGGGACAAGAGACCAATATGGGCATAGATATAAGCTTCAACACATTAGGAACAAAAGTAGAAAACATCGTTTTATTTCACATGTTCCTCCTCCAAGTTATTCAGGGCAGTGTTTGTGCTCCACCCATTTCTTTTATCATTGCAGTAATTCTGCAAAGCAGAATAATGCAGATATAATGACTAGGCTCAAATCATTCAATGACTTCATGGCAAACCACATATTTAGTCTTTCCACTGCAATACTATTTTGGGAGATGGCAACTTGCAGATTCTAAGTATTGGGAGGGATAGATGGGAGAAGAAAATAGGGAATGAGTTGGGAAGTAAAATGGCCATATCTTTAAAAATATTTATTTTTGTCCTGTTGGTATTGATACCATTATGTGGGAGACATGTGGGAGACATAACCAGGTAGGTGATGCTGCAGAGTAACACATAAGCCATTTTAGGTCAGGCATATGGATATCTGGGCACAGCAAGGGATGCATTTGTTCCTGTCTGAAAGAATTCCACTCACCAGATATGTCCCAAGGCTTCTTGGGCTGTGATTCGTTGGTCTTGATCTACCTCCATTAGTCTCGTCACCAATTTTTTAGCTGCAAGAAAATAGAAAAGAAAAGATAGGGAATTGGGCAATGTTTAGGAGAGTCAGGTGATCATTCTTAGGACTAGATTTTTGGATCCACGTTGCAGGAAATGAAGAGGAACCATAGTAAGAAAGTAGAACAGATTAATGCATGGGAGAGTTGCAGTTTTGAATATTCTGTTTTCAGACAGGAAACTAGAATAGCAAATAGGCAGGGTTGCAAATCTCCCTCACTCTGCTTTTGCTTTTATTAAATCGGCAAGCATTTTCCTTTTCAAAACGGCACCTCCAACTTGCAGAGAAGGATTGTATTCATGGGTGTCTCTCTTCCTCCTGGCCTGGTGTGGTACGGAAGAGCAATTCCATGTCTTTGGGAGAGAAGCTAATGAGACTGGATAATGCTTACCAGCGACGGAGATATCATCCCAATATGGAGAGTCAAAATCATACTCCCCAGCCAGAATTTTGCGGAAGATTCGGCGGTTGTGACTGTCGCTATTTTCATCATCTGTGTCATCATAGAATGGGGGGTTCCCAGACAATCTGTGTTGGTAAGGGAGGAAAGAAGAATTCAGGAAAACTACAAAGTCGTTTTCTTATATAGCGTTTATGCTTATATAGTCAAATACACTGGTCAACTTCTTGTGATTGTTCAATTTATATTAACTTGTCCCAACATGACTCTTAGGCTTCACACCTGAGTTTGGCAGTAAATCAAAGGGCTCCAGTCCCTTAATGTTAATTCAGGTCTAAGCTAGGTTTGGCAGAAGACACAGTTTGGCTAGTTTAGAATCTTATTACAGGCAGGAATGAAGCCTGAAACACAACTCTTGGTATCCTATTACAGTGCAAAAAACTCAAGAGATTTCTGTGTTGCTATGTTCTGGAATTTAAATACTGAACTTTTCCTCTAATCCTTCTAAAATGAATATCAGGAAGGGGGAGGGATATGAATGAAATCCTCCTCCCAATCCCTCCAAAGTATACATGGGAGAGGGCTGCTTGGTTGCTGAAGTGGCTGAAAAATGTTTGCACAACAGCCCGCTCTAGCCTGGGACCTGCTCGCTCTCACCTCACTCCTTGGAATGATGTGCTTCAAATATGCTCGATTAGGAGGGCTATTGTGTCCACCTAGCATAGCATATCTAGGCTACAAAAATCCTGGTAATCATTAGATGGCAGCAAAGATTTCATGTTTTCCATATCACTTCTATTTAGCAGCTGTTTGCCTAGATTGGATAGTCGTAGCAAAGCAACTGCAAAGAGATGGAGCTATCCTTTCTCTGTACATTTTGTCCTGCAAGCGCATGTGTTTTCTCTCTCTCTCTCTCTCTCTCCTCTCTCTCTCTCCCTCTCTCCCCTTCCCCCCTCCTATCTCCTCCTCCTCTCTCTCTCCCCCTCTCTCTTCCTCCCTTTCTCTCCCCCCTCTCTCTCTCCTCCTCTCTCTCTTTCTCCCCTCCTCCCTCTCTCTCCCCCTCTCACATACACACACACTAATGGAACTCACAGAATAAACATGATAACTCCGACAGCCCAGCAGTCTACAGGACGTCCATAGCGTTGCCGAGCAACCACTTCAGGAGCTGGGAGTGCAGACAAATGGATCAAAGACAACTATAGAAAATGTGAGCAAGATATATCCCGCGCAGCAAGAGATAGATG